TGAGACACCGCACGACTATCCGGAGTTATTTAGGGAGGTCCAATTAATGAAAGCGCAAAAGTGATACATGTAATACTGCGATCATACATAAATTAAAAGATAGTTTTTTAAAATGAATCAAACATTGTCAATATTATAAATAAGTAAAGACATTAAGAAAGTCAATTTGTAGTCGGTTCTATTCGGCACAAAGGCAGCGACAGACTCTTTTTGATGACAAAAAGGTACATACATACATGTAGGCAGGATGAAATAATGGGTTATGGACAGTATAAAGATGTTCACATGGAGTAAGTTTAAGAATAGATGGAAAATCGATCCATTGAATAAATCGTACAGTTTAAATAACACAGCACAGGTGAAATTTTGGCGAATATTGTATACTGCAAGCAAAGATATATACTAGCTTAGTCGTGCCCACTTTTAATATAGACATAAAGCTAGTTGTCCCTTGCATAAAGGCTTTTCAAAGATAAACTATTTGTATTTGGAAAAAATGCCAGTTATAGACTGGCAAAAGCCAGCAAAAGGTATGATAGATGTTAATATGATCATAAAGAGGTCACCTAACAGCAAAAGGAATACTAGCAAAAATATGAGAGATCAACATCAAACTCGAAACAGGGGTTAATGCTAGTTCCTGTCTGCCCCTACCGAGAATGATACATCTGAGCGAGAGTAGTGTACAAGAAATGATAGATTGGAATAATCTCAGGGGGCAAATAAGTTAATAAATTGTAGCAGAATACCATGAATGCTAGTGTGAAGCAACAAACAAGCACAATAGATATAAGCACATAATATGCATTTATAACATGGAAATAACCCTGTGAAAAACGAATATGAGAAATATCTGATATTCCAAAAGGTTTCAATAGTATCCTACATATTTATCTAAGATCAGAAAGAGGTACAATTGTTGATCTAGAAGGCCATTTGGATAGTTGACTCGTAACTTTTATAAGGTAAGTTAAGAGTAAGGCGGAAGGCTAAGAAAAACAGACTGTTTGTCCGAAGTCAAATCTATTGGTTCAGAAATGAAGTAAGGCTTTCCAGCCTCTTGAAATGTTGTGTAGGCCTTCCTAATTACATCATCATTCTCGATTCGTTCATTTGGCTTATCGAACCCAACAGTGCAACTGCCACTGGAAGGACATTTATTCGGCTCTAAATGATAGAAGTTGGCCAGCAGGATGACGGGTCGTGATGCTGGCTCTTTTGATGAAGGGCACCGGCCCCAGCGCGACCAGAAAGGTGCCGCCTTTGAGAATACGGGATAACGCTTATGAGCGTTGCAATGCGGATGAAGGTATTTGGGAGGAATAAACTGAGGATGGGCGTGGGAGCTGAAGGAGTGATGACGAGCCTCTGCTCG